TATTCTCTTTCCTTTTAAGACGTCCGTTGAGAAACTTGGACGGAACCTGGCTTTTCACCGAAAGTGTCACTCAAGTGCATAATCAGGTGTGTGCGGGAGAAATCTTTTCTCATGTAATAAACATAAAATCACCTCTGGATTGTTCCCTGTGGAAAAAAAGACTGCTGTTAGGAAGGTATGGCCAAGCGAGGGGGTGGCTCATTGGCAATGTGATTGATTTGGTCCAGCGCCATCACCTAGTGCGACCCATTAATTATTCACTGTATTAACTACAGTGACGTCTTGACAAAAAAGCCTCATGGTCAATCTTCTTAAACTGTTTTTTTTTTCAAATTTTGTCAACCAAATATAATCACATTAGTGCTAAGTTTCAGCTACACATTTTACCTCTAAAGGGATTCAACCCTGCAGCTGCACATATTGTACACATTGTTAGTCTTTTAAACTGTCGAGACTCAGCAAGACCCTCACCAGATGAGCGTAGGCCGAGAGTTTAGATGAAAGAAATTGCTAATTTTAAAAAAAAGTGATGAAACTAGAAAATTTTTGTGAAAACTCCGAAAATTCCGCAACATGTTTGTTGACGTAGCATCCATCTTTGCAATTTCAGCCAACTGTCTAGCTTGTTGTCTCGGCACATGTTATGGATGTTATACGGATTTCGCTTGCAACTATTCCCTTAATTTTATGAGTACTGCTTGGAAAGTTCTGCGAGCCGTACTGCACCAAGGATTAGCTAGAAGATCGAAGACGGCACGCTCTCTCAGTTCACACTGTACCGGCGCTTCACTCTCCTCAGAGTTGACTTTTTATTTAAAGATAAATGCCACCCCGTGACTGGCAATCAGGATGCCCTACCTACCGAGAGCCCCAATCAGGTCCGAACACGATCTGACATCGTTATGTTCAAGTCGGCTTGCTATGGATTCTGAAGATGAAGAGATAGTACTGTGTACTAAAGAATAAACCAGCGGCGATGCTCCAGCTCAAACGCTTTGGGGGTTCTTACTGCTAAAGTCCAACCTGGCACAAGTGGGGCATTCTCGGATTTTTGGTGGAATCCGAGAGGGGTTTAGTTCGGACAATGAGCCATCACATGTACATGTCGCAGTCAACGCGGAAGTCAACCGTCCACAGCTCGACTGCAGCGCTTTCAATAAGAAAGAAAAGCAAGACGAAGTTTTCATTTTCATGACACCGTTGGACCACCTCTTGCTAAGGAAATTCAGGAATATTTTGGGACTCGAACGGAGTGTTCTTATGTGTGCACCTTACAGTTCTGATCTCGTACCAAAAACTGCTCACCTTCCCCTCTCCAGACCTTCTCCCATAGAAGAAATCTCATCGTAACCATCACGATGTCAAAATCGACATCTGATCTTTCGTCGATTAGAATTCAGGGGAGTTCTACAAGAGAAGCATCGAACAGCTTCTAGTGCGTTGGCAGTAAGTTGTAGACATTGATGGTGCGTATTATGCTGGATGAATGGAACGAAAGATAATCAAATATTAAAATCAGAATTCAACCAATTGTGCAAACTTATGGACCAACCTAACATTTACTAACCTAATACCTAATATCCATATTTCAAAATCTGTTATTTCAAGGTTGCCGTACCTTTATTCAAGCGGTGCCGGTTCCGCGACGTCGCCTTACAAAATCGAATTGATGCCTTCATTGTGAAAAGGCTGGGTGTTTGTATCAGGTGGCCGTTGTCGTAGGTGCACTCACGGTGGCTCTTCGTAGACGATTTCAAGTGGACACGCGCGCTCGATTTTTATCTTTCGCAAGAACAATTGGGCTTGAAAGAGTGACTCATACCGAAGGAGCGCTCGTAATCGTTTCTTTTGTGCCTTTTACTTCATTTATGAGGTTGCCTATTCTGCAAAGCTTTCACTGTTTTTGTGAAGCTGTTATAATGCTGAAACTGCATGTTAGATTAAAGTTAAGGTAGAGCTAAGGTCAAGAAAGGAAAGTCAGATCAAACGTAGTTGTAAATTTCATATTATCGCTTCGGCTTTATAGTTTCGTGGTGGACGGGCATTCTACCACTGTCGTCCGGACGGCGCATCGATAGCACAGGGTTGCGCGCTATAGTGGAGCTGCGCGCAATTCTTAGAAGTCTGAAAAAAAAACGGCTAGAACGCAGAAAGATAGGGACTTTCCACTACGCAGTTTTAACATGTTCTAATGGAAAGTAATGGACTAAAGGATTGTGAAAACAACGGGTCCCGACAAGAGACCCATCGTGCTAGAAGAAGGAGAGTCGATGCGCGGCGAGTTATAGTGGCATAATGTGCATGATAGTACCTTACAATGGAACATTTTATTTAACTGTGACGCGAAAGTCATTACAGATTCACGCTGCGACTCGTACGCTGACTCGACTTAGTTGTCGCCGCGCACGAACTCATGTCGGGTACCGAACATCAGGAGAGCGGGGGAAGGTGGTCATACAGTTGCATTGTGAAATGCTATTTAGATGGTGAGCAAGGCAGCCTCGAAGTTTTTCAATTACGAGTCAGCGTTACAACACGCAGCGACGCACGCATCAACAACCGCGCCGTGAAGCCCGTTCCGCGCGAGCTCGCAAGTAGCCTCCTGACCGACACATCAGGCTAGAGAGCCTATCAGGTTGTTATTCTGGAAGTTGTAATTTTATGGATATGTTGTTTCAACGGTTTTGTGAATTTCTCAATTTATGGAAAAAAAACTCGCCTTTTCGAATTCGTGTGTTTAGTCAATGAAGTGTATCACATCTACCCGATGAGCTTTTTCTGAGAATTTTTTTCACATTCATCACTAGTCTTTGTCGTGGAAACTTTCCGACAACAAAACGTCGTTCCCTTTCAAATTGATCAAATGCTTTACAGGATGTTAGTGAAATGGCTGGAAGAAAGCACAGCTGAAGCCACCACTGACGATCATAAAGAACGAACTACTGATAGTAGTAGCACATTCACAGTTTTGCAGTTGACAACTGGACCCTCAAGCCCTATGTCTCGCTTTCCAAACCAGCCATCTACATCCTAGCAACCGACTGCGTCAAAACGGCAAACACAAGGCCAAAGAGGAACAAGATTTTGCCAATTCAACAACACAAATAACTGAAATGGTATTCCTTAATTAGAAACCACCACTCAATTACTTTGTGTTACATTGACATTGCTTTATTAGATGCTTTCTTTAATACAGATACCGCATAAGAAAATGAAAACCTGACAGAGGAGTGATACAGAGAACAACGCACACAGTAATATATTATGATCACAAGATGATAAGAGGAAGCGAAGAAAACAGTAACATGTTAAATATGGAGAACCACTCACACCTGACAAGGGCTCGGACGAATGTAGACAAACGGGAAGAAAATAAATACAGAATCTAGAGCGTTTGCTAATTTCGAACTAGAATCGTTTTCAGATTTCACTTCATCTGTTCAGAGAATCACAATTTGAGACGAAGGACTGCTCCAATTCCTATATCAACAGCCTAATGCAGACAAATGCCAATGATCGTGACGTTGTCGGGAGATGACATGGCCATGATCGCGAGTGAGACTTCCGTTCACGAGCAATGGGTTGTCCCTCGAGCCACCTTAACGGGCGATAGCTATAATCATGATGATTGCATTGTTACTAAAAGCATAGAGTTTTTCAGCTAGACATTAATTAAAAGAGTTGTGAATATCGATCTCCCCACGACAAAGAGAAACCACTTGAAAACAATCGAAAAAACGGCAATTAAGGAGCTCACCGTTGTGGCCAAATCTGTAAGACGGCACAGCTGTGAGATTCGATTGATGAAGAAGTCCTTCTTTCATTTGCACAGAAAAGCGGCGTATGCACCAGTCTCTCAGTTGCGCCGTGCACCTACAAAAGCAAACTGCTGAATGTGACGTCAAACCCTTTCGATTGTTTCGTCAAGCAAAGTTCACGTCTGATAGTACGATAATAGTCACAAAAGCTAATATGTGCTTCGACATTAATTACGAGTTGGAGTTAAATATGTCGGTCAACATTATGTCGAATCAGCTAGGCGCATTCGCCCTCGCGAGTAGCCTGGATGTGAACGACGCAACATTCAGATCAGCTCTTCAATTGCCAGTACTGGCTTTCGGAATTATGACTCCTCCATCTACCTAAATGGAGGAATTATTGTTTTTTTATATTCCCTAGTTCTTATGAGACACTGCATATCATGGTAGTACTCTACTGCCAAAAATGATGAAGACGAATAGCACTACAGATTCTCTTTAACGTCAACTTGCGACGCGACAGGGATTTTCAAGTCTGACCGCTCGGACCTGCTATGGATTGCGCAAAGGGCAGGATGATCAGGAGAATTTTCTCAATAAAAATTTTGAATTGACGGAGATTTTCGTCGCTGACCCAGGTGGCGCAGTGAATGAAGGTATGAGAGATTATTGCAAGAAACAGAAACTTTCCAAAATCCATTAATGCACGCAGTACTGGCGAATGCCATTGCACGAGTGAGAATCCATGGCGCCTATGTGGGGTGATGCCATGTTGTCGCTGCACGCTTGTGGCAGCCACCGCCGATGAGTTAAAAACAAATTGATGTACCATTTTACTGTTCCGTTTTTAACTCACTGACTGACAGGTTTCAATGAAATGGCCACTTGCGGTGGCCAACACCTGCGAGACTCGTGTATGGACTCAATTGCCATGGTATTTTTTAGTGTTTCGAGAGGGCCTCATAAATAGTATGAGTTCAAAAAGCATATGAATTCCTTACTAATAGTTATTAAATGTTTTTAGAGGTGTGAACAAATCATACTCTGAAAACAATATGAAAAAAGGTTGCGCAATGCACAACAACGGCGGTGTCGAGTTGAGATTAAAAGACCGAAGAGTATGGGTCTGCTCTATCACTCAGTCAGTTGAAGAAGAGGTTCTAGAAATCATAAATCGAAAAATTAAAACATCAAATAAAAAATACCTCTAAGCCTGTCATGATTGATGTTCGAATTCTTTCGTCATCCGGGATTCTACAATACATAATCAACTTTATGTTCTTCAAGACATGAATAGGGGACATGATTCTTAAGAGTTTAGTTCGCGTTTGTTTAGGGCTTGCTCCGTGTATAGGATTGCAGAGGAAACGTTTAATTTGAAGGCAAAATGCCGTGGGCATAAGTTGTTAAGATCACGTTTTGCAAGCCAGCCTGCAGTAGCGCGGTTCCTCGTTTCATGTTTTTTTCTCGCGCCTTTCGGTTTTGTTCTCTGCCTCAGGAGTACCATGTTCCAATCCTGTCGGTCTTTTGGCAGGTTCGTTACCGGCAACAAAAGCCATTTTCAATACTATCGGCACTATACTTTGCTTTTATTTTATACTAAAGGAAAGCGCTTAGCAACTATCATTCATATTTAAGATATATTCCAGCAAACTATTACATTATCGCGCAATGTCTCTTTGAAGAAATACAGATATCCTATAGTATTGGTACCTTTTGGAAAATTCACCTACCCAGACAGACCACAACAGCAATAGTGACTCGGTATACTGCCTGCTAGCTTCAATCACTCTACCCGTTATCTCATTACCCAAAGACATGAAAAAAAGATTCACCTGCAATAGTGTGTTAACACTGCTTGTGAGAAGGGGATACACTGATCCAAGAATAAGAACTGAAAGGATCAGGGAGCAAAGTGGATCCACCCAAGTCCATCCAAACCACTGGATAAGCAATGTCGAGATGATAACGAAGACCGAGCCCAGTGTGTCCGCCAGAACGTGAAGAAACACACCTAAAATTGAGCAAAGAACAGATGATGTGCACGATGACAACATAAATTAGAGGAAATCGATCATTTGGAACATTCATAGTACATAGTCCAATTCAGAAAACAAACTACCACACCTTCCATGTTTGCATTTCCGAATGAGAATGTCCATGAGAGCCACCACCATGGGAATGACCATGACCGTGATCTCCTTCGCCACCATGGAAGGAGTACATTCCGAATAAATTGACCAACAGGCCCGAAACCGCGACAAACTGGAGAAAGGTGCATATATGAGAACAGTTTCCAGGAAAGTACTAATTGAACGCAACAGAACTAAAGGATGACAAAACATACCAGAAGTCTATCAGTGTTGATGTTGGGCGGATCAAACAACCTCTCAAGAGCTTCAAGTAAAATGAATAAGGCAATGACACACAAGAATAGCGCATTGATAAATCCTGAGAGGACCTGAAAAAAAAAACTGATAAATAATAAGCGGAAAGAGAAAAAAGAGCTGTGACATCGAGAAATCTGAAAAAAAAACGAGCCTCGACTCTTCCATAGCCATAACTGAAGTGCCTAGTAGCCGGCCAACGAGACATGACTGCAGCGATAAGACCCATCACCTACAAAATGTACTACACACGATCGAATGCATATTCAGTATCCATGCTCTAGAACGAAAAAACAAACAAGGGCTGAACAGTCAAAGAGCATGTGGAATCCATCAGAGATGAGACCGAGACTATTAGTCCAGAATCCGTAAAGAAACTCGACGCCACAGAACGACAGATTGACGCATAGGAACCAAAATATGCGTCGGGAGTCAGAGTTGGCCAGAATTTCGCGAAGAGTCTCCTGTAAATGATTATGAGCTACACCTCTTGTGTCCCCCACCAACTAGAAACCCATGGTTTCAGGACAACAAGCTACTTGCTGATCCCATTACGAAATAGGACTTGAAGTGAAAATTACCTTGAAAAATAGAACAAGCGAACGGCCTGTCTTCTGAAGGAAAGCCTCTTTATATGCGAAAAGCGGCAACCCAGTGTCGGACATCCCAATCAGTTCACCACCTCTGTGCTTCGGGCCACTAGCTGACGTTAACGACACCGAAGCTAAAACAGAGTGAACAAGATAAATGTTTTTTGTGTTGAACTAGAACACAAAGTTTTCGTTCTCTTTTCATTTGGTTTTTTTTTGAAAACTGGTTAAAAGTTATCCTGAAGCACCCATGCACAAAGAAATCATATACTTACCTAAAATAAAAGCAATCACTGTAATGATGACGCCGGAAGTCACAATATGTTCCTGTAATCCTTGACCAGCGTACCACAGCCATGCCAACCCAAGAGCACAGCTGAACATTGTCACCGGTGACCAACGAGCAGCAGCCATTACAGGGTCAGCGACATGCTGCAATAATTGTTCAGTAGTCGTTAAAAGAAGATAATGCCAACTCACGTACCTGGAAGCATACACTTTCGGCATAGAAATCAAGAACCATAACAAAAACTGTTGCTATGAAAAGCAGAATAATGAAATGTAGAAGAGAGTCAGTGACGGACTGAAAAATAACGGAATTTTCATTTTTAGCATAAAACCGCCAAAATAGACCAGAATACAAACCGTCTTCATAACCAGTGAAAGCACTCCGATAGGAGTGAGGATCATGGCTGAACACGTGGTCACGAGAGAGTACAGTCGCTTGGGTCCACCAATCTCAACCGCGAGATGACGGAATGAATTATCGTAACCTTAATTAAGTATCACTAATCGCATGAATCCACATAAAGTAAGTGAATAGAGAACGAAATCAAATGCTGACAAAAATATCTCAAAGAAAATATGAGATTAACCCTAAGTTTAGCTGGCCTCGGGTCTTGCAATACTGTAGGTAAATTCGAACAAAAAAGTCAATGAGATAAATATTCTGATCAATTTTTATCAGGAGCAGAACACAACATTTCATTCCCCTCATCTTAGAATGTAACGTCGTAAGTCGTATATTGAGTTCATTACAAATACAGACAGTACGCGAAATGAATACTATGCCTCCGCTGAGGATCAGCTCACACAAATGTGGCATAGGTGGAGAGAAAAAGGTAAGTCCACTGTGGAGGCATGGGTTACACAACCAACAAACAGTGCTACTGGAGGGAGAGCGTACGAATCATCGAAATACGGAGTGAATCCAAAGCTTGAAGAAGTAAAGAATAAAATAAGATCCGGTAAAAACAACAAGAGAGTAAAAGATGATTAAAGAGAATTTGAAGCAAAATGAAATGAGCATTGTTTGAGAAAATGAGAAGTATTTCAAAAGACTTTTACTTCAAGGACAATTCCCAAATAGAAACGCTGTCAGTAGTCTGTTATCGGACAAGATTTCTAGGGACACTTGGCTCTTATCGATGTATTATTTTTTATTTCACTGCTTTACTGTTATTCTTTAGTACTATACCGCAACTATTAGGCAGACGCATCAGTATAACGCAAGGCAAGAGAACAGGCAGTGTGTAAATGCACCCTCTTGTAGAACTCCATTGAGTTCTGACGGTCGCGCCGCAAGTCTCCAGTTCTTTCGCAAAGTGGACGAGCGACCTCAGAGGAAAAACATTGACTGTATTTGCTTTCAATTCAGGGGCCATCAAGTTGTTGGCGTGTTTCAGTGACCCGGTATTTAGGTGTTAGTTCAGTGCCAAAGCCACCTTATCGTAGCTTGGCCATACTGTCTCAAAAGGATCGCATCGGAAAGGTGGGCTTTGCTTGTCAAAACCCCAAAATGGTTGAGTGTAGTGTTACTGCACTTGTGGTATAACACTGTAGCCAACGCTCCAAACTACCGTTGAATATGGTATGGATAACTTGAAAGAAACAATGCAGAACCAAAAGCGAACATGACGTTGTCGCATCGTGATGAAGCTGATTCACGCTACGGGCAGGTGAGATATAAAGTTCAACAATTTTAAATCTTTGGACTGGTACGAGATGTCCAGTACCTGCCTTCCGACGAAAACATTTAGGAATAGCAGTGTATGTCTAGATTCCCTTCCAGTGCCGTGGGTAGCGCATCGTGATTGCGGACACAGGAATGGTTGGGTATGGATTATATTTCAATAGAGGAATGCAAGTCTGAGGGATGGAGCATCACTGGTTGCAACGTTGGATTGAGGCTGTGTTGCCTCTGGTTGGTGCTCTATGCAGCCTGGAGCGTGAAAAACCCTAACGGTAGCATGATGAAAGAGGCTCAGGAAGAGAGTAATTGTATAAAATGGAATCCTAGCTCAAGCAACTAGGAGCGGATGAGGGACTAACGCCTCAGATAGGGGAGCTCCTGTGCTGCGATGCAAGGCATGTTGGAAAGCTTCGATAATTCTCAAGTTTTTTGGAGGAGTACATGTGGACTGCCTCAAAAATTACGTGTCAATCAATTAATTTTTGGAAATAATATCTTCACAAACCATGTGGATCCTCTACTGAGTGATCTCGATCCAACAGCAGAAGCGATAAATATCCAATGACTAGAAAGAATAAACCCCTACTTTTCGCCGTTGAAGAATTTCCCTAGAATAGATTATTCGATTCAGGACTTGGATAGAGCCAGTCGTCACTCACCTTAAAAACGGATGCCATGGCTACCAACAAAACAGAAGGGCTCAACTCGAAAACTAGCACAGACCTGAAGTACAGATAAAATGACCGAAAACGTAACCGAGGCGCTGAGGAATCTTGTACCACGTCGATTTGACCGACAAACCTGAGAGGGCCACAAAAGGTGATTCCATAAAACCAGAGCACTTCTATCAAACAATTGACTAATGCCATTTTTCCAATGCGTATAAACTAAAATCTTATTCTGAACAGATGTTAATTTTCAGTACGTACGACAAACTTACCGTTGGTTTCCTCAAAGTATGCCCATGTGAAAGAGGTTTCTGGATGGGTAAGAGAAGTGCTGATGCACTGAAAAGAGAACAAGCTAGTTTTGTGCGTTATAATAACTTGAGTGGAATAACGTGCCACTGATGCGATAGAAAAAAATCAAACTCACATCACTTTAACGAGCCATAGCAGACTAACTACATGAATTCCCTTTGCTAAAATGTCGAGAAAAAATATGCCGATACATCGAAGAATCTTCGTCAGCACCACATAACAATACAGCTCATAAACAAATCCGATGCTGATCACTAAGACTGAGTAATGTACATACGATAAGTACGAATTCAAAAAAGGGCCCTGCTATGAGCCTAATGAATGTCAGAGTCCAAGTTCACTATATTGCTCGTTCTCAGTTTTGTGGTAAACTGATAATTAAAGCGACTCTGCGGCCATTTATCACGCGAGCGATTTTGGCGGACACCTGCGAGGATCAGGAAGTTGGCGCAAAGTTGCGCAAGAGCTGCTAACTCGTCCGATGAATAGCTAGGTGCTGTTCTCCCTGCGCCGACTCCTTACCTGAACTGTGACAGTTGAAGATTGCATAGACTACTGTTTCTGATTCTTGCTTGATATTTCAATCGTTCTCCGTCTGTAAGTTCATTTGAATTCTCATGGTTCGTTTCCTAATTCTACTCCTATAATCCATGATTCCATCCATACAACAAGGGATCATAAGGCGCAGCGTTTATCCGCCATGCACTATCAAGCAAAATTGCCGCGCATGGATGAACCGCCTTTGTATTGATGACCGCCCCATTGTGTTACCGCCGATCAGTCACCAAATGGGACCTCGTCGCGCTGAGTCGAATCGCCGCCGAAGAAGATTATCGCTGGAGATTCTCGAGTTAAATCCCGTCAGCAACAAATCGCTCGGGAACTTTTGCAGTGCTTTCACTCAAGAAAACGCAAACTTCGCTTTCTGCGTGACGATCAAGCGGAACTTCCGCTGATCCTTGAATTATCGGACCTTCTGCGAACTTATTGCAGCCTTGCATGGGATGGTTCATTCATCGCTCTGTTCAATCTGCCGCTGCTACTGTACGTGCTAACATCTCACTCCATGTCTGGGTACCGACCCTCATCTGGTGACAAGAAAGAACTCGATGCTCCACCTTCTATCAAGAAAAGAACCTATAGTCGCACTGTCTTTAACCTTACCCTTCGCACAAGAAGCTTTAGCTGCTTCTACTGAATGCGAATCAGCATCAAATTTTGACCACAAGTTACAAAAAAGTTCAATCATCCATGTTCCTCAAACAAAACTCGCTCCTTAATCCACAATTCTTTTACCTCCTACGCAGTTCCCTAGTCGATCCGTTACTGTTGCCTCTAGCCGGAACATTTAGTAGAACAGTAACTAATAGACATTGAATCGTCTTACGAGAAACAGATGCGGTTTGAACACGTCCGATCGTTCCTTTGTTCACAAAAAATCGGTGAGCTATACATCTTAGATAACCATTTTCGTTTATTTCTTTTTTTCGTTTGATTTCCGCAGAACGAAATATTTTATTCTATACTCTTCATGTCTCTTGATGATAGGTCTGAAAAAACCTCCTTTAGCATCTGTTTGTGCCAGTTGGTCACTCCGTTGTCACCGAGCCATTTCAATGGTGCTATCGAAAGATTATCTGTCAGAACTGAGCGAGATTCAAATCACCGCATCTCCATGTAAGCGACCTGATATCCCAAAACCAAAGCGATATCATCCACCTGATTGTCACCCGCCACTCTGAATAAGTACCCACGCTGGACCTAAAGAAAAGCTTAATTCGGCATGTCATTGCGAAAGTCGCTTTCGCTGATGAGCTGTTTGGGTGTGAGATGACCCCAGCCTTCAGCAATTTTCCTTAAAAACGGTACACCATCAGTTCAGGCTGCTCTCCCACACTTTCACTTTCTACCTAATCCCAAGCCTGAGAGGGATCAAGTGGTTCCTTAGACAAAAGCGAATTTCGCACTCTCCAAATTCTCGCTTGGAACCCAGCCCACTGCCGATCATCAGTTATCTGAGGTCCCGCAGCGAAAATGAAAAAATGCTTCCAGTGTCGAAATTACGATCAGTCGCTACCGTGCTGGTACCCACACACCCACCAGAGGCTATTTATACCAATGAAGCATCATCTTCCCATGGACTTTATTGACCGATACTACCGATAGACTCCAAACGCTGAATTACAAACATGGAAACTGAAACTGCAAAATGAGCGTAGCCAAGGAAGTTGTGAGCNCCCAAAGTTGGCTGGAAGTGAAGCGTTCCATATGTACCGCGCTGGATCGCAGGCTTTCAGAGTCGCCGTGAGTAGTGGTAGTGCCCATGCTCTTCAATTCGACGGTCATAAGTTCTCTTTTCGTTGGAATGCGAATTCCGAGAGCATTACCACGACTTCACGGCGGATTTGAAAGAACATAGGCTACCACGGTTGATTGGTAATGCATCACTTTCAGCCAAATTTGAGCTTGCAACTTCCTTGGCAGGTTCATCTTGCAGTTTTGTTTCCATGTTTGTAATCAGCGTTTGAAGCTCTATCGATATATCTGGGTCACAACTGAAAGTTCTATGAGGAGTTGAATGCCTTTCCTGGTTAGAAGAGACCAAGGATTAAGATTGATCATTCCAAATGTTATGTGCTCTAAATGACGAGGAATTTCAGAAGTGAAAGCGTATTTAACTGTCACTGCTAAGCCACAAAAAGGACATTCATATGATTAGATCATGCCCGTAATACATCAAAGATATCTGAGTTCGACCAAAGATTTCGAGATAGAAGAAGGAAAGGTCTCATAAATTTACACCCAGCCAAAAATTTGCATCCGAGAATGTGATGGGATTCGGCCAAAGAGAATCTAGGCATTTAGAGTCACAGTGAGCGCTAGAATAGGAAACAGTATGCCAGCGCTTCTTTAACTGCAGGACAGTTAAGTTTGGTTTCAGAATTCTCTGGATGGGAAATAATAACTTTCCCGCGCATTCAGACAACCAGACAATGAGATGATGAGTTTAATAGGACGTAAAATTAATAACGAGCTAGCGAACCAATCGCAAGGACGAGTCAGCCTAGTGACCGTGAATTTGCGTCGCGACGGCGGCGTGGACAAAGCCCGTAATTGCACCGGACCTACCTGCACCAAACGCCACCTTGGCGCAACAGTCTCTTCTCTAGAAGTATGCATCGAATATCGTCTTTCTTACTGTTTCTGAGCTATGCTTCTGCAGCCAAAGTCGACGACAGTGTGCATTATTTCGTCACATTCGATACTGCCGAGAATGGGCTTGCAGGTGGTCAATTGTTAGAGGAAGAAAACGAGAAAGCGCTCAAGGACGATAATTCATTGCGGATATCCACACAAAATAATGAGAACTATATCTGCAAGCTGCCAAAACCAACAACTACAGTGAGTATTTCGGATGATTAGTTGTTGTAGTACTTACGATGTTTCAAGTTTGGTTTTGTAAGCTAGACCCGTTGGATTTCGTTCCTATAAGGGAGCGATTATAAATTGCGATTTCTAGCCATTTCCTTCGCAATTAAGCGCGAAGCAGATAGGCCGTTTATGCGACTGCATGGTCGATACGTACCTACTCCACACTCGACCTGCAACACGATCGCTAACTATGACCGCGCTCTGGTATCCATTAAAGGCTGGGTTTACCATGAACAGGCACTGTTTGGAGGCCAAGGTAAACGTGATAAGTGGTACATGAAGGAAGAAAATACGTCGAGATACGGTTCGGAACCTGAGCCACGGGACCATTTCTTGCCCGTTGTTTTCCGCATTGATGGCACCATCGTTGCTGCAGGGCTTCCCCCACTGTCTGCACATTTGGGGTCGCCGCGGCAACCTGGCCGAGTAGCGCCATCAAGGACTTACCGGGAATTCGGACGTTTACATTACCGGCATCACGCTTGCACGCAGTATTCTACGTACCATTTCGATACGTAATGTAACGCCGCAATACTCAGGTAAGCGATTGGCAGTACTCGCCGGGTGGCCCAGCCGCGCCCCAAATCGTGAGAAAGTAGGGGGGCCGTTGCTTGCGACTCTCTCGCTCGCTTCTCTGGTCTCTGCTCAGTGAACGACGTCTGTGTCGCGAGCGACGCGACGGAGATCGCGATCGCTCCACTCGCTTGTCCCGTGCTTTCCAGATCGCTTGACCGGGGCGGCTCGCAATCAGCCCGTCGCCGTGCCCTTTCAAGCGATGCGCTCGTTGAGCATCGAGCATTGGGCAGCGGACGACAAACGATGGAGCAGACGAGCGATCGCATCGCTCGCCGCTCCTCGGTTGGTACGTTGCAAATGATCGTCTGGTCTGGTGCTAAGTGTTCAGAGTCAGACACAGCGGAACTTGCGGCGGACAGAGAGCTGGCGGCGCACGACGGCTTCTCGTAAGCGCTGGCATACACTTCGCTGCGAAAACGCACATCGTCCCGCATCTGAGTGGGCTACGCTGGTGAGTACGGTCGTAGTGAACTGTTGCAACCCTGCCACATGCCCGTCCCTATTGGCGATGAGACCTGACTTGGATCTACGTAAACGTATTTAGCAGTCTATATCTCCGTCGATGTAGGGTGGTACGGATTTGACGCACTTCATGGAAGTCCGGCTATAGCGTTATCCAACATAGTATAACTGGGAATCGCAAAGCGTGCTGGAATTAGCTCATCACACGATCTTCCCTTTGCGAACGATCACCACGTACCAATCCATACGACGCGAACTACTCGGACGGCGGAGAATGGGCTGATACGGTGTTTACCCACCGCCTGTTTTCTGCAACGGCAACGTTCTAATCGCAGAAGGTGTAGCCACGTGGGCGATGGCATCGAACTCGATATTACATGGCTTATATTGATGCCCTCGGATACTATCTGTATGTCCGTGTGCTACCGGTACAGCAGCAAGAACAAGTCTCGTCCTTGTGCGAGTCACGACTTTGCATTGGCAGCGATTTGCCCCAATTGCAGGAGCGACAGGAGAGTTACACCGCGACCACCATAATCGGCCATCAGTTTGTAAATCTTCCGTCGCTCGATCGCTTGAGCATCTGTCGCTCCATGCATTTGCGGTGCAGAAATCGCACTCGAATCGCTAAAGTCTGACATCGCCTGAATGGGATGAAATGCAGATGTTCTTTCCTCGTCTCATATCTATCAGCTCAGAACAAGACGGTCTGCTTACACGAGGCTCTCCCGGCTGAGTGATCGCTCATCTATAAAGAAACGTGTGCTTCGTACGTGTTGAACTTACATGGATCTTACGAGCATTGTGTCATGACTCTTTATATTTACAGTAATCATGAAGAAAAACATTCCGAGGAGTGGTCCGAAACCGCGCTATACTACTTTGAAACCTTCTACGTAGACTATTCAACCTGGTGGGACAATGTCTTCATTTTCAAGCCTTCCAAATTCCAATTTTTGTCGGTTTGGGCAGAGCGTTGTTTCCACATAACGAGCAGTGTCCAGAGCGCTCTGCACATTATTGACATCTCGAACAAAGAGTTTATAGCATGGTGAAGTAATATCGCGTACTTATTCCTGTATATTACAGCAAGAGAACGAACTTGTGGATATCACAGGAGCAAGCAGACAACTGTAACCTTAATATGCGTTGAAGTAAGACTTTTTGGAAGTTTGATAAAATTTTTGAGTGTCACGTACCGCGAGGAAATTGCCATAACAAGAAAGGTCATTTGGGTCAACCCAAGCGTCCAAGAGCAGGGGCGTGGTCTTCTGAAAAAGAATTCCTGAAGATCGACCCCTGGCGAATCTCTTACTTTTCTGCCGCTTCGTTAACATAACTAGCGTGATTTCTGACATCGTATCCTAACTCATGCTCGTTATAGATAACCGTATAAATATTTAAAGGAAGCATTAATAACTAATTTTGGCGGCATCGCATCCTCATTACTTAGGCGCTTGTATATAGCGCATGCGCCAGCATTTCTCCTACAAAACAAGTTTTCATATTTCGAAGTCAGGGAAACCCCCAAACTTCTGGCCATCTTCTGAAATTTTGTACCGAACTCGAAAATTTAAGGCAGTCACTTACTCACTTGTCCCACAATTCATTACAAAACAGCGCATGCATTGCGGGTAGAGTGAACCTTCTGAACTATTCAAATAAAGACAAAAATGTGTCTGGCATGGGCTGTTCGCGGAGTGATTCTAGCTGCGGCCGAAATGTTACATAAGCCCAACATAGTTCCGTAGATAACTCTTGCGTGGAGCTCGCCCAGCCCAAAACAACATTGACAAGGACAAGCAAGTCATATGGGACTCGATAGACTTTGTCAGACATGTCGAGGTCTTATTTATAGAGCGCTACGCAACCAGATTACAATCGTGACGCGAAGTGTTCGTCATGTAACTACGAAGTGATGTAATTAACTAGCGCTCTGTGCTCTCCCAGCTATAAACGCAAGGTACAAGAGATATCAGGGAATGATGCCATGCACACATCAGACTGAAACACGCAAAGACAAATTCTCTTTCTTGCCATGGAGGATCATCACAAACCACGCTGTCAAAAGGTATTAGGTGAAGCTTTTCATGAAAATTCTTCACGACAATTGTTGTCTCATGGCAAAATCATGACTCATTTCTCATAGATAGTGTTTATTAGGCAATCGAGTTACCTCATATCCGCTTAGTAGACCGTTTTCCCGACGTCGAATGATGTTCTTCATAGTATCTCTGTGATAGTTCGATCACTGAGGTAGTTTTCTACGCTTCTTTCCCCCTTGATAAGGGGTAGAATATGGTAGTGACGAAGAATCCCGAGCCCTTATTCCTTCTAATACTTTGGGAGCAAATACTCCCTTCAAATTTGTGAAAATGCAATTTGAATATTTATCTTGTCCATGGATCAACCAATTGCTTATTCATGCGAACATCTCACCTGTTATAGGCCGTATATCCCAATTATACTCGTCGATATGCTAACAACGATTGACAAATTGCACAGTTCCAATTCGAAAATGAAAAAATTGTACTAGACTCTATCTACGACCGCTATCATGCAGAAGGCATTATCGAGAAATACCTATTGTTGTTTTCCGTTTGAGTTAACCGTAGCTATCTTCGTTTTTTTCAGTTGGTTAAATGGAAATTTTTTCATGTCAAAGCAATTTTGGCTTACATTGCGATCTCCTCTTCCTGACATCTGCATATAACTACAGACATACCAAAAATTCCGAAGTCATGCATGAGTAAGGAACATTGAGACTTCTTAAATACTCTTGAGAACGTTCTATCATTAATTACGTCGCTAGTCGTAATACTTTTACACGAACGCCTAGAAATATCGCTTTTATGTTTTGCCTCAGTGGCAGTTATCCATAGACTTCATTTGCATCGCGTCGGCCACTCGCCTTATAGTATTCCAACTTTGCGATCAACACATCTCGATTTGAATCTAACCATTGCGTTGACGTTTACAATATGTTCTTTCAGGAATACAAATATCGGTCCGGAAAAGCCTGCCCTGCCGACCATGAGCATATGAAGCGAGTAGAAAAACTATTATGCAGATGCAGGCGAGCAGTTGAAAAAAGGAAAAGACTTGAAGGCTTGCTGCCAAAGAAGTAAGTGTTATTCGTAAGTTTTATTGTTCTATCTTTACATTTTCCTTGTCTTTTACTCTTTGATTTCTTCCTTGTCCCATCTTACCGCTCATTCCGTATTTTGGAGTTGCTGATACCATTCGAGGTCTAAGACAGAGATTTAATCCGAATTCAAACTGCAAATCAGAATTGTCCAATATTGAGACTATCTCGTTATTCCATGGGCACATTGATTCCGAAAAAACTGCTTAACCGCCTACAATTTCAGAAGATTCCGCCTTGTTGTTTTACACAAGGAAGAGATGTCTCTCGTGGAGTCCACATTATCTCTTTCCATTATATCAAGGGTGTAAGATACCCTTGCAAACCGGTTGATTGTTAGGACACTGCTGAATCGCTTCTCTCTGGAAGGAGTGCATCTATGCGGCGAGGGGGTGTAAATAACGAATTCTGTTATGGGTACAAGGAAGAGCTTATTCATCCACGATTTACTTAATTTGTCGTATGGGGTTATTTCGGTGACACGTCGATGGGTCTAATCCTTTCAGCGTTTTGCAATACCATCAAGAACCCTAATGCTACCCCACGGAGATATATGCTCGGAACATTTGATGAAAAAGTGCACAAGGCCTGTGATTGGACGAAGACAAAACTATCGATCTCCGAAAAGTTTGGAATTTATTACGAGTTCGCCCGGATACCATATAAATGCGAGGAGCGACGTTTGTACCAGTTTAGACCATTACATAGTGGCCAATAATCTTGTTTCCGTATAAGCAATCAAGTTACACAAATCTCATCTCTAGGAAAGGAGATATTTGCCGAACTCATGCCCACAGAGTAGAGTTTCTCCTTACACATATGAATTATGTTCTGCTGCTAGATATTCATACACATTCATACGACGCCCTTCTCACTTTTCGTCGCGTGGGAACGGACACGATTTTCATGTGGCGCACCCGCCTCCCATATAACCCCCCCACAGTTTTGTTTGTACAAATGCAACAAAGACAATGAATGCTCACAAGAATAATTATCTGCAAATGCGCCAAAGCGTATAAGAAATTATTTACATATCATCCAGTTAGGATTCGATCAATAACGACAAATATGCGTACGAAGAGGCATTATTCACTTTCTCTTGAATAATTTAAACATTTCACATTCGATTACGAGGTTTGTCCACCTATTTGTCCATTCCTAGCGCCTGGCGGGCGATTATGAGTTGGCAGCCCATATGGGCTGCCATCGGCGTGAATGTGTTAGAGTCGAATCGATCTCGGCCAATATGGTCTTCAAGGAGGAATCTACAGTGATAACTAAAGGGAAAGCCGATGTGATAATATTTGATGTTCAGGAACGTGGAGGTCCGACTGCGTTGTAAAACAGCTGATCATAGTTCGTTAGCCATATCATTATCACTAGCTGAGCCAAATTTATGTCAATACATACTCACACTGGAAAGCGAGAGGTTAGCAACAAAATGATTGTCCACTTTTGGAACTACTTCTTTGTAGGTTTTTGGGCCGTTTTTGATCCGCTGATTGATTCGTGTTGATCACCTCCCCTTTCCTCCCCTCCCACTCCCTATGTGGGCAGATTTGTTGTGCTTAGTTCTTCTTGAAAGCTGTTCGATGGCATGAAGTACTTTGCAATCTGTAGACATTGGTTTTTGAATTTAAAAAAAACCTCCATAATGACTTTTCATATTTGACTACCCCCTTCTCCTTTTTCAATGCAAAAGTAAGGTCGACGAACTACTTGAACTCAGCCCTTTAAACCCTCTGCGCGCTCTCACGGGTCCCTCTCCTCTCCGAGGCTTAGTTCCAGGGCGTTCTCTACTCGTCTGTGTTCTAGCCATCGTGGCAGGACCATTGAGGAAAAATCAAGTAGTCCGTCAACCCAAAAGTAAGTAGTGCTTTTCAAATTGCTGAGTTGAAAAAAAAGGACGACGATATCTGTTTTTTCTCTCATTTTTTTCAAATTTGAACTGGAGTGCTCGGTTTACTTTTCATTGTCACACCTGTGAATAATGGTTTTCTCAAAGTGAACAAATGGGTTTGCAGGTTTTGTGAACCACTTCAATATGCGGATGATTATGGTTTGATCGCATTGGAAACGGAAGACGAATCAACACAAAAGGCACCTGGTCCTATATAGAAACTCTTCACTATATTAATTTATGTATTTGCCAAACAAAACGGGGTTACTTTGCATGTTTCACTAACTTCTGTGCACATAGGAATATGTACTGATTTACTCATAAATATTTTATAATAACATAAACAGTCAACAAGCAACAGGAAATGATCAAAATGAGAATTTACAAGGCCATTTGTCTAAAAATGGCTGGTTTACCTACACTGTGTGATTACACGGTCAGATTGTGAGTGCCCCAGCGCACGACGGCTGGTTAACAGCTGCAGCTCCAGTTTATTTTGTTTAAAACTAACCATAAGAACATTGGTGACATCATTTATGCTGTATAGGTGAGCACGCTTACTGCTGACGCGAGAAGCGCATAATGTGATGGGCCACTACCTCTAACAAGCTCCTTTACTTAGTACCAGTATGTGGGTTTCCTCGGCGGTGGCGGTTTGATGCCGATTTCTTCACAAATCTCATCTTCGAATGAAGCCAACTTGGGTATATATGTTCGTTCCAGTACCACGGCTGCCGGCGTATCCTTCTCTTCGACATCTAAAGAGATGCACTTTTACGAACAATTGAAGAAGGTTGAAAATTGAAGCAATCCAAATAAAAGCAATCAGTCTTCAGCATGACGAAAAAACATAAGTTTGTGGAAATTTGTGTTTTTTGGAAACGCAGGGAACAGCGCAGCGCCAATAAGCACAACCATTTCTCTATATTCCCACTAGGCTTGTTCTACGGATCTCACCATCAGATAATTTGAGAGTGGCACTCACCGATGTACTTCTCTGGCAATAGATACTCATATGTGACTCTCGCTTGGCTAGGAACTGGGATTTCAAAACCTGATCGTAATGAGATACGGATATACTCATCACCAGCATCATTTAACACCCATCTGTAAATCAAAAATGAATGCACTTCCATGCAAAACAAAAGACACACCACAACAAAAACAAAAGATCTACTTCGCTTCACAGGGTTCATTGTCATTAGGATCCACTAGCTTCACATGTCCCTTCTCGACGCTCAGCGGTTGCTCATTCCATCTGAAAAGCGTACCAGATAAGCTCAACATAATTCCGAAACTTACTAACTAGGCAACTCCACTTTTAGTGGAATCGAATTATAATATGTATAATACTGAGAGAATGTTATATCCCTACAGTAATAATGCGCTATGTCTATCTGTCACGAAAATCCCTACTTTCTCAGATTTACCCCCCCCCCCCTCCTTCAAAAGGCGAGAAATTGTCGGGTGCAGACCATGCACCACAAGTGAGGACGGCCTTCACAAAATGTTAATGACTGTCACTAATTACAACTATCATTTACCAGAAATCAGCTATCACTACGGACATCTTCTAACCAGATTTACTTGGAGGCCGTCGTCAGTTGTAGTGTTTGTTCTGCACCCGACACTTTCTCGCTTTTTGAAGGGGAGGGTACGTGGAGAAATCGGGTTAGATGTGGGATGGTTGTACCATATCTCGAAGTACAGAACATACATCAGCCGAGCGGAGCCCCGCCCATAGTGGGCGTGGCGTCATTGAAATGAGAGACACAGAGGACTATCCTACTTACTATAAAGCTCTTCGTCTATCGTCTGTCGTCTGTATGTCTGTCACGAAATTCCCTAGCTCCTCGGGATCTGCCTGGAGAGACTGGTTCAAGTGTGGAATGGATGGGCAAGGTCTCACAAAGTACAAAACACACATCAGCCAAGCGGAGCCCCGCCCACAGAGGGTGTGGCGTGCGTCGAAATGAACTGTACCGAAGACCGAGATTTCGAGTTCAGTGACAAAACAACCTCGAAGCTGGGCCAAAAAGAGGGTAAAGGTGTGCATTGGTAGGTGACATCGAGTTAGGGAGACCCACCCCCGTGGGCGGGGCGTTCTCCAAAAAGCAGTGCTTTATGAAAAATTTCATAACTCAGTTGAGAGAAAGCCTACAGAGCAGAAAACAAAATGGTGTAGGGGGCAATGTCTAAGGTGCTCCCAGCATACACGACGTTGGCGGAGGTCCGCCCACAATGGGCGGAGCACACGCTGAAGTGTACAGCGTTGTCTACAATTCCTCAAGATTCGGGCCGGAGAAGTCTCAGTGAGCCGGAAAAAGGTGGATAGAGGTAAGTGGAGGAGTGGAGATTAACCGTCACCGGTAGGCGGGGCATGACCAAAGTGGGCGGAGTTATCCACGAAAATTCGATAACTCGGTTCCAAGAAGTCTCGTAGACTGGAAACAAAGTGGATAGAGGTCGGTGAAGGAGCGGAGCCCAACTGTTATTGGTAGGCGGGGCGTGTGCGAAATGGGCGGAGTTATCCACGAAAGTTCGTAACTTGGTTCCATGAAGTCCCGGAGACCAGGGAAAAAGTGAATTGATTTCGTCAATGGGAGGGAGGTCAACTGCTATTGGTGGGTAGGGCGTGCACCAACGTGGGCGGAATTCGCCCTAAACTTACAATTTGGTTCCGGGAAGTCCAGGAGACCGGAAAAAGAGTGGGTCAAGTTTTGACAACGCACGGGAGGACAGCTACTATTGGTGGGTAGCGCGTACACCGAAGTGGGCGGAGTTGTCGACAGAAATTCATAATCCGGTTCCATCAAGTCCCGCACCAGGAAAAAGGTGGATAGAGGTGGCTGAAGGAGTGAAGCCCAACCGTTCTTGGTGGACGGGGCATTTTCAAGGTGGGCGGAATATGCTGTGTGCGCAATGCGTGCGGCGCCAACTGGTGATTTTATATTCAATTACAAAACAGCCTCGAGACTGAGGAAAAGTGGGTAGAGGTGTGCATTTGCAAGCCAGTTCGAATGAGGGAGACCCACCCTCGGTGGGCGGGGCGTTCCCTAAAAAGGCGGTGGTTAATGAAAAAATTCATCTCAGTTCGGAGGAATCCTAAAGAGCAGAAAAATATTGGTGTAGGGAAGCAGGGAAGCGGTGTCCCCAGCACACATGACCCATTGTGGGCGGAGGCACGCCCACAATGGGTGGAGCGTGCCTTGAAGTGCGCAGCGATTCCTACAAGTCCTCATAAATCGGTTTCGAGATCAGTTGGAGAAGAAGACAGGAAAAAGGTGAATAGAGGTCGAAGAAGGAGAGGAGGCTCAAAGTTAGTGAAGGACGTGGCTTGCTCAAAAGTGAGCAGAGTTATCCAAGAAACATAACTCGGTTCCAGGAAGTCCTGGGGACCGAGAAAAAATGGCTAGAGCCTGGCAACGAAAGGTTGATTAACAACTGTAGGTGGGTGGCGCGTGCAGTAATTTGCGTCAAGTTTATAATTCTGTTCAAAAGTCCTGAAGACTGGGAAAAAGTGGGTAGAGATCGGCGAGGGAAAGAAGGCCAAATGCCATAGGTGGGTGGGGCGTGCACCAATGTGGGTGGGGTTATCCACAAATTATTATAACTCGGTTCCAAGAAGAGCTGGAGACCGGGAAAGAAGTGGATAGAGTCCAAAAAGACAACGGAATGGAGGTCAACAGCTATAGGAAGAGCGCGCACCGAGGTGGGCGAAGTTTGCTGAAAAACGTAAGAAAAATATCGATGGCGCCTGTTTTAATACTGCTGCATATGTGATGCACGCGAATGCGTGCGACGCCAAACTGGTACTGTGATACGATATTATATTACCAGTTTGGCTGCGCACGCATTCGCGTGCATCACACGGGGGTTCAAACAGGATGATCACTTTTTTTTTCTAGATTTTAGTTTTCTGTTCGGTACATCCCATTTACACCGACTTTTAGGTCAAACTATATTTTCTGTTTCCTACACCGCATTGAGCTACGTGTTTCAGACAGAATCGATCAAAAGACAGTACCCAATCTCTAGGTGCGAACGAAAACAACAATTCCAAGCGTCGGCGGTTTTGGAGAGGGTCTTTTTTCGGCGGAGGGTGTACTTTTCACCTCTGAGAAGGTTTTGCAGTTGCGAAATTGTGTCTGTGGGCAATGCTCTCTCTCAATTACTGCAGAGCTGCTGAGTAAATTCCAACGAAAGGCGTTTCTGAAAGGGTCTTTCTTCCAAGACATGGTTTTTTTTCAGGTGGTAAGGCTGAAAAATTGTGTCAGTAAGCAATGTTCTCTCTCTGTTACTGCAGAGCTGCTGAGTGAGATTCCAAAGTGCGGCTACTTTGGAGGTCCTCCTCTTTCGAAATTCATGGGTAACCCCGCCCACTTTTGCGTATGTCCTGTCCACTGAGACTTCATTTCCTTCGCTGACCTCTATACTTTTCTCCTGGTGTACAAGACTTCATGGAACCGAGTAATAATGTTTCGTGCATAACTCCGCCCACTTTTGTGCAAGCTTGGCTCACCATTAGCATTTAACCCCTTTCCCTCCGGCAACCCTTATCCACATTTCTCCCGGTCGCCTAGCCGTCTTGGAAGTTAGCTATGAGAGTGGTGGCAAACACCGCCCACTTCGGGGAATGCCGCACCCAGCGTTCACGTTCAACCTCTACCCCTCCTCTCACCTCTACACATCTTTTTTTAGGTTCCTAAGTCATTTAAGGGGCCGAATTATGAGGTCTTGTAAAAGTCGTTATGAGTCATGACTTCCTGAGGCAAACCCCGCCCACTTTGGTGCACACTTAGCCCACCAATGGCATTTAACCCCTTTCCCTCCGGCAACCCTTATCCTCTTTTTCCCGGCGCTGGCCTTCTAGAAAGCCGAGTTATGAAGTGGTGGCAAACTCCGCCCACTTCGGGGTGTGCCATGCCCTCGCGTTCACATTCAACTCTAGTCTTTCTCACTGCTACACACATTTTTCAGTGTCTCCAAATCGTCCTCGGAGCAGAATTAGAGGTCCTGTAGGGGAGAAACCGAGCTACGTATCTTTGTTGGCAACCCCGCCCACTTTGGTGGCATGCGGTCGCGCCACTGGCTATCGTTGACTTTATCTCTCTCAGACCTTTTTCTACTTTTTTCCCATCTCCAAACTTAATTGAAACCGATTATGATTACGTGCAAACCCCGCCCATTTTGGTGCATGCTCCGCCCGCCAACAACGGTTAACCCCTTTCCCTGTGCTAACCTTTATACCCTTTTCTTCCGGACTCCGGGACTCCTAGGAACCGAGTTATAAGCCTAATTGCAAACTCTGCCCACTTTGATGGAAACCACGCCCATCCCTGACATTTAGCTTCCCCTCCCCTCCTGACCTCTGTCCGCTGTTTTCCGGTCTCTAAGTGATCTCGGAGCCGATGTATGAGCTCTTGTAGAAAACGCTGTCCGCTTCACGACACGCTTCGCCTATTGTGGGCGGGCCTCCGTTCACATCATGCGTGCTGGAAATACCTTAGTCATTGCTCCCCTGCACTAATTTCGCTTCTGGTCTGTAGGCTTCTTCTTAACCGAGTTATGAATATTTTCACTGAGCACCGCTTTTTTAGAGAACGCCCCGCCCACCGAGGGTGGGTCTCCTCAATTCAATCTGGCTTACCAACGCACACCTATATCCACTTTTGTCCCCGGTCTCGAGGCTGTTTTTTGACTGAATTTGAAATCATGGTCCTCAGTACCACTCATTTCGACGCACGCCACGCCCACTGTGGGCGGGGCTCCGCTTGGGTAATGTATGTTTTTTACTTCTCAAGATATGGTACACCCATCTCAAACTTGACCTGGACCCAGTAGGTCGTTGTCCTCTTAATACGGAATTTCGTGACAGACAGACAGACAGACAGACAGACAGACAGACAGACAGACAGACAGACAGACAGACAGACAGACAGACAGACAGACAGACTTAGCGCATTACATATAGTAGGGATAAAAGAGACACCAGAACAAGATCCATTCTGGGTTGGCTTTGGCTAGAAACCACTAGAAACCGTCAAACCAAACCTACTTCAACACTTCATCAATCCCATATTTCTTTACGCCCTCCATCTCAACTTCGAGTTTACAATGTAGACCTTCGACGAAAACTTCATTTGTGTCTCGAGATACTGTCATTATTGTACCCTGACGTCCTTTATCCTTTCCGACCATTACCTTGAATTTATAACTTGAACTTTGATGATAATGTTGAACACAAAAAATGAACGATGGACAGTGAGCTATATTCTACGCTTCGTATGAGGATTGATTTTTGTGAGGATTTTGCATGAGGATAGACAGAGTCCAACTCCCTTTTATCCCAGATTTGAGGGTTTTTATCTAAGAAATGATACCTGTACAAGATCTCCAGGTAAAAACGTCCACTTCTCGTCTGGCATGCGACGAATTTTTGATCGACGCATTTCGAAAAATTTGCCTGCGAGCCTGTGGAAATTATAATATTTTATAGAAGGGAGAAGAACAGATGGTAAAGCAAGATTTGTACATTTTTTGATGATATTTTTCGGCTCTTTCCAACGACTTTGAAAGTTGTTCGTTGACCCATGGTCTTTGTGTGCTCGGTTCATAGTCATCTGGATGTATCACCCAACGAACAATATCAGGAGCTCCGAATCTAGAAATGAAATATGAATTACGCAGAAACAAATAGATCCAAAAATGGCAAGTGAACGGCAAGATATAGGAAAAAGTAGGGAGGCTAAATGGATAAGCAACTCATGAAGCGCACTGTTGCTTATTATTTTAGTGACATGCTAGCCCTTAAACACCGCCCTTTCAGCCAGGCATTTGATAAAGGTCCAAAAAGATTGCGGAAACAACCAATCCGAAATTTTATTTGGTTCAGTATGAAAAAACTTGTGGATGGCGAATTAAGAGAGTGCGTCTGGTATATTGAAACCACCATTTCGAATACACACTCTCCTTTGTCACCATTCACTCACATTTCCGAGGCCGATGTGAAGGTTTGCGAATCCAGCGATTCGCTAGCGAATCGAACTTTGCGCTAGCGAATCGACCGATGCACCAGCGAGTCGACACTGTTTGAAAGGTGCGACACCCAACGTTTAAAAGAAGTCCACTCTAAAGAACCACACTGTTTGAAATTGGCGGGCCTTCCTTTGAACGTTAGGTCCCGTCACTTTCAAATAGTGTCGAGTCGCTGGTACATCGTTCGATTCGCTCGCGCGAAGTTCGATTCGCTGATGCAACGTTCAATTCGCTGGCACAACTGCTCGCATCCAGCGATTCGCTCGATTTGCAAACTATGACATCGGCCTAATGTGGAACACGGAGATGAGTAGATAAATGAGAAGTTTTAGGAATTCTCTCAATGGACGTGAAAAGCGGTGACGTAGGCGTGTCGATGCACATGGGAAAGACTGAATTTTTTGATCCACGCTAATTGTTAAGAGAATGAATGAAATTATTTTGAAAGGTGAAAATCGCGAACAAAGTGAACAAAAGCTGGAGAAGGGGACGGTACAACTCCTTTTCAACAGCCAAGCCACTTCAGTTCAAGAGCTGTCACAGATAACTTGTGTTGGTGATCGGTTCAAAGCCCCCACCCACCCCATGCCTTCGTCCATCTAAGTTGGTTTAGATTTCCATGATTTTTTTTAGAGGGAGAAACTGAAATGTAGCGCTTACCTTCCGCTGTAGACCTTCCTCGGTACGACTCTTTTAAGTCTGTCAACATATTCTTTTGGCATATGACGAGCATAATCTAACTCAGAAAACGGTTTCCGTGGTAATCGGAAAACCCTGCTGAGATGCATTCGACCTTAACAGTAATGTAATTTCATCGAACTTTACAATTTTAGTGGATAGTTCGATGTAGTAATTGAACGCAAATCAGGAAAAAATCGTATTAATGGAAACAGATTGATACACGGATGGGGATTTCCTTCTCATCATAGGAAGGAAACACTCATCCCACTAGATAGCAAAGTGAGGTAACGTCGGAGATGTCAACTTAAGGTCCGTATTTGGTTCCATAGGGAAGGGTTGTACTGGCTGGAATTATGCAATTTTCAGGAAGCGGAGTAGAATTCAGTTAGAATGCAGTGATATTTGCTTATAGTTATAAGAGGCGAGTCATGGGAACCGATCATCCATATTCATGAAATCAATACAATTGATTTCATGAATAAGACTATCGGTTCTCATAACTCGGAAGTTTATCTATTGTTTATTTATTGTTTTATCGTATCGAATCACCCTCACCCTCTTCCTGCACCCACCCATCAATGGACCTTTCTTAGGCGATGGTGATTTCAGGCGGTATGAAAGGAAATGGAGAGATGAGAACTAGGACCTGAAGGAACAGAGCCCAGCTGAGGGGTTGTGAATCTTTGGAAGAAGGGCAGCGTCTCAGCCAATTTCCTCTACATGTGCTCCCCTGCTGAACACCAACACCCATCTTGGATAGACTTGCAGGAAAACCTCCGAGTTTACATCCCGTAATATGCTGCCGTCAACCCACTCATCCATGATTGCCTACCAACACACGGGTTACTGGTGCAGACACAGCCAGTCAGTCATAGACTAGTGGGCGTGCCAGTAGTATAACCCCGTCACTCGAAGGTTTCTCCTGCAAGCCCATCAGAGTATCTTCCACGACAAATGGTCGGTAATCGTCACAGGGTTTGAACCAAGCCTTATGGTTTACTCGAAATGAACAATAAAATAGGAATAGAATTTACCAACTCAATGTCCAATGACGAAAGAATTGACTACATCTCTTCCATGAGAAAATTTCGAATCGCAAGAATGAAGGGGCCTTCCATACATTGGAGCGCGTTCTTATGCATAAATGGTGTCAGCGACGACAGACATTGCTGACAGCAGACCGCAAAAACCATTTCAAATCAGTACAACTGTGGAACCAACCCAGCAAACCGAACCACAGCCAATGAAAATCACTTAATCGAATTTATTACATATTCTTACTCTTACCACACATGGCACTAATTTTTCAATTGCGCACACCTTTAACAACCTTAAGGTTTGTACATATCTTGTGAAAAAGAAGAATCGGAGAATTACATCCAGTTAGCCTCATCAGAATAAGAAAGGTACAAGCACACGGTCGGACAAGGCCAAGGGTAATTCGATTATTAAAGAAACCATCATATCACAGAGAAACATATTCCCGACTTAGTTAATGCATGCTTCAAGAGAACTGAAGCATAAACGTTAATGTTTCCCGCGTATTGCTATCCGGCGTGGATTTACAAAGTGAGAAACTAATCAATACAGACATCAAGTTACGAAAGGAAGTAAACGAGTAAAAATAAGCAGCATTGAATACAGAGATAAAATGAAGTCTCATTCAGATCAAATAACAAAGTGCTTATTATGTCGTCAAGGTATTATGATAACAGGCCGAAATCCATTAATTTATATAACATGAGGTGCACTGTAAGGAATTCACGCTGGAATAAACTCACATCTACATCGAATATTACTTCAAGCAATAAAACAAATACAGCTCTTGAAGCTGCTTGTTCTGCGAACACATATTAAGCGTCATCTATGCCACATTAAACGATTACTTGGGGTCTTCACCGGAGTCACCAAGACCGACGTCCATGCACATCATCACAAGGAAGCCAATGATACACGCTACTGAGGCAAGTTTCCCGTTACCGCTCCGTTGGGCTTCGGGAATAATATCGTCGACAACGACGTAGATCATAGCTCCAGCGGCGAAAGAAAGTGCGTACGGTAGTAACGGCTCCATTAATATTATAGCTGCTGCTCCGAGCACAGCTGAGATCGGTTCCACCATTCCAGATAATTGCCCGTACCAAAACGCCTGAAAATGTTGGAAGTAGAGTTCAGTATCCCATACGCTCACAGCGTCTAGATAAAACAAAATAAGAAATGGAAACTGTTAATTTGAGTAAGTCTAAGAAGAGACGCTTGTACAAGAGGTCTTGAAGGAAGAAAATTGGCCTCTAGGATAACATCCACAACATTATTTGCGAACTATTGCTCAAACATTGGAATATATTCACGCTGTTTATTCTCACAATGGTAAGAATTAGAGGAAGAAACGTTGCAAGTTCTGAACCGGGAATCTCTACTCGCTTTTAGACAGTTCTTCACGGAAACCGAACTGGAACTGGGAACGGAATATGGACGAGAAGTGATCGCTTCTTGTCAAGTTAGCAAAGCCAACGCCTCATTAATGGAGTTGGATTGATTTGTCTTGCTAGAATGAGTCAAGTGAAGGCGCGCATCAGCTCTGTCCAAAATTTTCATTTTCTTGATGCTTCGGTTGGAAGTGATGAAAAACGAGGGTGAAAAATTGACTGAAGCAAGTGTAAGACCTTGCGAATCCGTGGACTAGTTAGTGATTCGCGGTGTACGAGCTATGTACCAGCGATCTGAACAATATATCAGCGAACAATGCAAGGTATAATCAGCGAAACAATGCAATTGACAATGCTTTAAAACTGGTGGAAGCCCTCCGTGCCGCACCTTGGCTCGTCGCACTTTCCCGGACGTCACGAAACATAAGAGCAGATGGGAGGGCAAAGAGAGCCGGAAAGTTGGTTGAGAGCGGACGTAAGGACACTAGGGGGCTCCCGGCTACGTTCAACACACAGCAAGTCACTAGATTTGAACTGTGTATGAGTTCGACCGCCGGGCATCGATTCCAAATCACTGATGCATCCGCTCGAAACCCTGTGATTCATGAAATCCAAAAACCATCAGCCATGGATTCCGCCAAGCTTTGACACCGAAGTTAAACAATCTATGCTGCGATTTCCTCTAAATGGTCAAAGTGGCGGATAGTTGCTAATAACTTTGAACTTTCTCGGGAACACACTAAGCCGTCGAGTTAAGTTGACCAAATCGACGAAAGATGCTTGTGTAAGAATCAACTAAACACGTTACCTTCGTTTCGAGTGACCAAAAGCTGGCCAATGGGTAATGAAACAGCATCCTTCGGAAATTTTGAGTCCCCCGATACCAATGCCAACTATAAACGCTGTCTCAAATTTGGCCGCACGCAGTTTCCCGATGAACCGAATTACGCAGCGACAGCAAGACCTATAACATGAGCATTCAGTGTTGACAATGTCGTCAGTTGCAATCCAACCAGACTTTGAGTTCTTTACTTCAGGTATGGTTGGCACACGTGACAGCCAAAATAAGAAGCATGATACGTCTCCACGATGACCGATTTTCATCTTCTGAGACGCCGCATCGTCTCCTTGTCAGGTGTTTTCTGCGAGTCATCTCTTTCAAGATCTCTTGATGCCTCCAGAAGGCCTAAAAGATCGCCTAATTTACACAATGCCGACATCGGCATCTAGACTGAAGAACATGCAATGTTTCAAGCATTAATTAGACAAAGCGATAACATTATGAAAGCAGCTAATGCATTCGCTCGCGCTGAACACGGTAAAGTGCACGTCACAAAGAATTTGCAACCGAAGTGGAATCCTGTAGTAGCGAAAGCGGGAACCACCGCCCAGGATAACACAGATGTGCAAATTATAGAAAAGCACGAAAGGCTGAGACGCAGTGTTGAGGAATGAACAACACAGATATACTTTTAGTTCGCGAGTGTGGGTGGCGACAGGGCGGTGGCTCACCTATTTCTAGTGCCACGACAGCGTAAAGCCGAAGATTTGGAGGTAACAGAGTCGTACCGAGAGGCCGATCCGCTCTCAGATCCATTGGAGGCGGTTACAAGCGATAACTGCGTCTCAGTTTTTGCCGGCGCCAAGTAGTCCATTACAACAGTATCGCCCATCACACAACTAAAATAGTAGTTCATAGGTTGTAACCATAAAAATCCACATATTGTGCAGGATTTTTGGAAAGCCGCTGACAAAAGCTGCCTTCTACATTTTTTATTGCTCTATAATTGTGATCAGGAATCTATCCTAACTGCACGAAAAAATTGCAGCATTTGCTTTACCCAGAGTCTGCTGGATTATATCATGCAAAAGAGTATAAACTGAAGCTCTTAAAGAGTTGACATAACTCTTATGTTCGCGCTGATTTAATTAAACTCACATTCTCATGGATATAAGACATGAGCAAATAGTTAAATGAGAACACCCCAATTAGATCAGCTAAATCCCTTCAAAAGTGATCCGAAACACGAAACTAACATTGTAAAACATTGTAAAAATAGCGCTCTATTGGAAGTAAGGATGTTATGCACAGAGATGACAAAGAGACACTTAAGCGGAGGTAGAAAGAGAGACTCCATCTAAACCAGCTAGCTAGGGGGTCCTCATCCTGTTTACTCGAAATTTACGGAAAGAGTCGTTCCCGATCCGTAGTCCGATTTTCGATTTTTTAGAAATAAAAGAGCTTTCATCAGGCGCTGCAAATATGTAGCACACCCGAAGTCACTGAATTATCTGTTGTTCTCCTGTTGATCACTTGATGCATGTCGCAACCGATGCCATAAAAAGCAAAAAGAGGGAGGCAGTGAAATGCATAACAAATTTCTCCTGCATTTGTAAAAAGCCGAGCTGTTAGGCTTGGATCAATTTCGTATCCACCACACGTTGACTTTCAAAATGGTATATCGCCGTTCTGGAGAACTATGAATAATGACGACAACACAAAATATACTGCTGAATTCATCTCAGAAAGCTCAATACTGGTGCCCCGAAATCTTCCTTCCTAGCCAAATACGAGAATCTTCACAAATTTTGACTATTTCTCAACTAGAACAGCTCCATGAAAAGGCGATATTATAACACAAAAGGGTATGTGAAAATAAAAACAGGCTGAAAAAATGGAGCTGTAATATAAGAAAATCAATCGAATTCAAAAGGAATTCTTATCACCTTTGACTGGGGAGTAATGCATAGGCTCTTTGTTTAGGTTGGCACAAAGAAAGTTCTGCAAACACTTCTTTCCAAATTTTTTCTTTTTTTTTCTGAAAAATTCATAGTTAACGATTTATGACTACCAAATGATAGAGCATTCTCAAGAGCTTCATACAGAGGTTGAATATCAGTTTGCTGCTAGTGAGTAGGTTATCCAGAAACTTCAAGAAAATCTCGACCAACTAGCAAATTCCGTACTCCCGAGTCACTGTCTAGTACAGAAGTCTGCAAAACCATGATCGTGCCAACGAGCTGAACACTAAATCAATAGCTTATAATGGCATGCCTTTTCAGCGATACCAGCGTGTATTCACCCTTTACCCAAGCGCTTCCGATCGTTTTGATATTTGTATACGAGCCAACCACGCAGCACCTCAACTTCACTTAGCGTAGGAATCCTTGGGCTATTTCACATATCGTTAATGGGACCGTTGTGCAGGCAGTGGCATCACGGAGAGGAGGAGTAAGACTCGTCAAGAGCCTCCGTACCGCGACAATCATCCCATTTCTTTCATGACTTCCGGTCCCACTGATCCGAAATGAGACCGACGCATAGAATTCAGGATTCGGCAAGAATCTCTTTCTTCTCTAGCGCCGTAATCCTGGTCGGCTATAAATACTGCTCCTATCCTTACCTTTTTAATCAACCAATCTTTATAACGAAATATCAGACGATCAAACTCCAACCTCGAAAGTGAGGTCGCTCCGTTTCTCGACTCGCACTGAAGATCGCTGGTTTTGGCGGAGAGGATAAGAAATTTTCTGAGCGATGGGACAAAGTGGTGGCAACTATGGTAAGAATTATAAGACCGGTCAGAGTTGTCAACGCTAAAAAAGATAAAATTAAAAATCAAAAAATTTGAAAAAGAGTTGGCAGGACTTGCTTTTACCAACCTGATAGCTCTACTTTAAAAACGAATTTGGAACCAGAGTCAACCCTGCGTTGCGCAGTTCGCGAAAAAAAGCGGCACTCGAGAAGATCCTCAACGCACGGCTGTAATGGGCGGAGACACAGACGCTCGAGCATGCGAGTTGTGAATGTTCGTCGGCGGAGAACAGTGTCAAATCGAGGCGAAACTGGGAGCTCATCGTTTTGTAGCTCCTACTGACTAGTAAAGGGCGCCATTCGTGTACGCGGTTCCCACGCTCCTGGCTACAGTGAACCCTTTCAATGTGAGCGGGTTCGCGTGACTTCAATGTGGAGCGGGATTCCGTTAGCCAGGGGCAGTGTAGCCAGTCTAGGGGGGTGGGGGGTGAGGGCAGTCACTTGACATGCGTGAGAAGCTAGAATGTTCGAATCCAACCGGGATCGCTTGGGATCCCCGCGGGTTGAGGCAGTGGGTCCCGCAACGAATGGCGCCCTATACTAGTCAGTAGGAGTACAAAATGATTACTCCGCGAAACTGCGCAACGTGGCCGTTGAAATCTGCGCAACGCAGGGTTGACTCTGCTTGGAACCATATTTATCGGACAATTATTTCGAAGTAAGGGTATTATTTGTCATTCAAAACTAAAGCAGAGGAGATCGCAAATTTCAACGACAGAGTACGATGAATTCAAGCCCATATTCTTTCTTATACCTGATGACTTAATGACTCCAAGGAAAGGGCAGCAAACATACACGTTCATGGAAGTTCTAGTTTAAGTTTTCAAGGTCTTAGGGCAGCACCGGAGCCAATAAGGTCAAAAAGTTGCCTTGATACGTTATTTATGAAATCACACTAAAATGAGCTAATTACCTGGGCAGCATCCGATCAGCGAAATGTACAAATGCCGCGCCAACGGCAAATCCAACAGCCACTGGAAGGAAAGCCAGTGATCCCATTGTCTTCTCCGAAATTTCAATAGCCGGAGCGAGTAACGACCAGAACGACGCTGCTGTCATGACTCCAGCCGCAAAACCCAAGCTGAGATCTACAAAAGAAACATCACTCTCTTAATCTTTGCGAGATTTTCACATTTCCACAAATTGAAATAAAACTTTGTCAATTTGAGGAACCCGCCCGAGCGATTTTTCCAATTTCCTTCCAAAAAAAGCAATATGATTTCAGACTGCTCTATTGACAATATCTGGCACGAGAGACTGGTAAAAGGCTAAGAGCGAGTTTTAACGGAATGGCTTTAGAGATAACTTGCTTGTGGGCGTTAACTGCATTTCTAGAACGACGATAGGATTTCAAGCAGTTCAAATAAAATTCCGCTCATGACTACACAAACTTAAGTATATATCAATCAACTGTTTCTCCAAGCCTAGTCCACTACAGTGTCATGTCGCGGGCACGACAAATGCAGATATGGTCCTGAGAAAACATTCACGTCCTCGAAATCCCATCAAAACACTTGCAAAATCAAGGATGAAACGTCTTCCACGACCTTATCAAAACTCACAAATTGTCTGCTGGAAAGATGGGGTCACTCCTGTCGCATGACTACAGAATAAGAATAATAATCAGCTGTGTAAATTGACCGACCGAACGCATTTCGGTCTTTTAGCTTAAGAGAACGACATCGGTGCTAGAAAGACCCTCGAAGCTTACTATATAAGGCAACGTGACATCTCCATCGCTCAATTTCTGTCCCCTACTCCCCTTTTGTGAGTTTCTGAGAAGGGAACATGACGTAATGCATTACATCGTACACGTCCTTATAGAACAGTTCAGTCTCAATTTAATCTACTGGCTCTAAAAGTCATTGAGGATGGAGGCTGCTGAACGAGCCAATTGGCCGTAATGTAACTCCTTATGTGACGTCTCCAAATAAATCTTAAATAAGTAAACAGAACTTAGTTGAAGAAAAATCACATGTGAGACAATGAATCACCCTTCAGTGAAATATTCGCGTGAGAATCTGCTAAGTCCCAGGTAAGTGAAAAAGACCTCATATAAGAAAAAGTGCACCAAAGCCACAAGCAAACTATACTAAACGTGCTAATCACTGTTGCTTTGTTAAACACTGCACTGGCACAAAGAAGAAATAAGTTTCAAAGTGAAGATGATACTTCTTTTTGTATTTGTGTAATAGACCTTGGTATCCGAGAATTAGCATAGTTAAACAAAATGGATGAAATGTATCCTAGGCCTTAAACAATTCTGAAAGACTCACCAAGTAACTTTCGATTCTGATGCTTCATAACGAACACTAGGGATGCTCCAAGCGCCGTCACACCCCACGTAAAGCATCCAGCAACGAGGGCTTGCCAGATTGGGTTTATCCCTCTAATCATAGTGATCTGAAAGGAAGCAAGTGACTGGTGAAATGAGATAGTTCCAAGCTTGAAACGAAAATGCCGTCACACGGAATACGGTTAAACTCGATGATCGCAAAGTTCTGAGACTGGACATACTTATCACGAAGTGCTGTATAAATCATAATAAAAGCAATAGAAATAAGTGCATCGACCAAAAAACGGTGTGCAATAAAAAACTATCCGATCCAATGAAGAACAACGGCTTGCAGTCCGTGAAATGACGCCAACACAGCATATTGCACGAGAAAATGCAGAATGCCAACACTTCGTAGAAGCTGCGGCATTCGGCAACTGTTTAGACAGCTTGTCAGAGCAAATAGGCGTACTCATTGGTATTCGTTCAAAACTTGTCGTAGCTCGATAAAATGCTAGCTTAATATCCTGAAGTGACCACTACTATGAGGGGAATCCTAGTTGCTTGGTTACTGTCTTGTGTAGGTGGGATTGTTCATTTTTTGAGGAAGTACGTAACTTTCCAAACAAATTGGCGCCATACATAATAACAAGAGTAGTCAACGAAGCAAACCCTGGGCGAGGATTTTTCTCGAGCGTGTTGTTGGGGGGGGGGGATAGAAGAACTCTACAGCAAAGACCAGTGTGAAGAAACAATGCGAGTACGATATCGTGACCTTTCTTATCTTTCGTTTCGCAGTTGCCCAGCCCTGAAATGATAACGATGCGAGTAAAGCGACACGTTCACTATGCTCAAGAAACATTCACTGATGTAAAGTATAGAGCTGTGTTAGAAAGTGGAAAAATGGGGC